GGCTGTATTTCCGGCTCCATTCCGAACTTCCGGCATCTAAAAGCTGGAGACAAAACCTCAAAATCTCTGCTATTCTAAGTTTTTTGAAAAGTTGAAGTCCTCTCTAAATTCCCTTCATTCGGGAGTGAAAACTGTGGATGGTTACGAAAAACGAAATTTCTTGAGTCAATCGGGCTGTAGCTTTTGCGTTTTTAGGAACTTCCGTTATCTGAATCCCGCCCTCAAAAGCCTCAAATCTGCGCCTTTTCGGTGTCTTAGAACGTTCAAAATCGGCCCATGATTGAACTGGTTATAAGGTAAAGAGTGTGGAAGGTGGTCAATAAAAAAACTTCCCGATTAAATCCGGCTGTATTTCCGGCTCCATTCCGAACTTTCGGCATCTAAAAGCTGGAATCAAAACCTCAAAATCTCTGCTATTCTAAGTTTCTTGAAAAGTTGAAGTCCTCTCTAAATTCCCTTCATTCTGGAGTGAAAACTGTGGAGGGTTACGAAAAACGAAATTTCCTGGGCCAATCGGACTGTAGCTTTTGCGTTTCCAGGTATTTCCGTTTTCTGAATCCCGCCCTCAAAAGCCTCAAATCTGAGCCTTTTTGTACGTCCAGCATCTTTTTGAACTTCCACCACCGGAAAACTGCAGGGCGAAGCCCAAAAGCGCCGCATTATTCGGGTTTTTGAAATTTCAAAATGCGTGCGTTAAGCGATGCAAAGGGTGGAAGGTTGGCCTTGTATAGAAACCTAAACCAACTAAAAATTCTTTATTAACATTACGTACAAATGATACAACGTACAGCGCAGTGATAATCAGCTAAACAAGCGAACCGCACCCAAACAGAGTCTCCTGGTGCGGCAATCAACGTGGAAAAATATAATTAACCCCCTCTTAGTCTTGTATTCTGATGCCACTTTTCCCCAATTCTGATGAGCTTCAGCAATTTGCCCAATTTATTCGGCAAATAAATTGGGGAAAGTGCCCAGTGAATTACCGGAGAAGGTTGATCAGTCTTTGCGTTCCGCAAACTATCACACTATTTACACATTTACAGGTCTCGAACTATCACAATTGTTGCCGTTTTCCGGCACGCCCCTGCTTTCCGGCTTCTCAGAATCGCTCTGCCAACCAGAGTCCATCGTGCCGTCACTGTGGCAACCCTGCCCCTGGATCTCGTCCTCCCCAGCGGCGTCTCCATACAGCAACCCAGCCGCATTCCCCCCCAAGTTCTGGATCAGAGCGGAAATGTTCGAGCCGATACTCCTCCGGTTGGACTGGCTCAGACTCAGAGTCTTTGGCGGCATGTTTTTCGCACTGTAGCCGGTTTTCGTCTGGTTGTAGTAGTTCTGGTCGTAATTCACTCCGGATATGGTGTTGGTTAAGTTGCTGAAACTGTCGTCCTCTGGAATGACTTCGTACTGGGCGTCCGGAGCCAGGAACTGGTCGACCCCGCCACTGGCAAACCCCCGATGGATCGGCATTTGGTCTTTCGCCTTCTCCTGGAAGTAGGCTTTGCCCCCGCAGCACTCTTCGGGGGAGATCGTGTCGTCTGTCGTTTCCGTCAGCGGCGTCTGCACGCTGCTGCACAGGCTGTTCTGAGACATCTCCTTGGGCAGCAGCTGCAGGCAGGGATCAGTYCCGAACTCCGCCAGATCSTCCGCACTGGGCAAGGGAAACGGCATCCTGCTCCTGGTGGACATTTGCCGGTTGGCCATTCTTTGGCTCAGATAATCCTCCTCCTCCACCTGCTCSCCAGGCTGCGCCTCCTCCTTGCAGTCCACCAGCTTCTGAAGCGAGATCAGCCTGCCCGACTTCTGCCGGTTCTCCATCGCTTCATCGTACAAGCCGGAGTCCTGCCCTTCGTTCCTCACCGAGATGTTGCAACAGCTGCTCACATCGGCAAAATACACCTCGGACTCGGACGTTTCCGGCTTCTGAGGGCTGTTCTCCTGCTTCTGAAAGGCCGCGTTCTCCACCCCCTGCATCCTCGGCAGGAACCTGCATTGCCCATCTGGCTTGGGTGCGGTCTCCGCCCCTGCGGGCTCATGATAATCGTTCTCAAGCGGGGCTGGAGGAGCGCCATCCCCATTGGTCGCGCCAGCAAACACACTTTGAACGTTCGGCCTGTGATTGGATGGCTGATTAGTAGTGGACTTCACCGAAGCCATCTCGTTGGCCGATCGTTTTTTTATTTTCCTCACCGGTAGCGTGTGCGCCACTCGTTCTACGCCGCTGGATGTGTCGGTGCTTTCGCTGTTCTCATTGGTCTGATGCACTTCCGGCGCTGTCGTGTTCTCGTAGTTGTCCTTGTTGCTCTCGTGTGTGCGCGTCCTGCGGGAGCTTCGGAACTGGTTGCTCTCGCTCAGTTGACAGTGCGACTCGTGGCTGTGCGGGTGATGGTGGATGTGGTGGTAGCTGAAGCAGAAACACTCATTCAGTCCGGAGATGCGCCTGAATGGTAGGATCGCCTAGGCTCAAGCCCAGTCCAACCCTAGAACTCACCGCGCTGGTGATTGGTGCAGATAGCGCCTGGCCGGTGAGTTCGGATCAGAGTAGGGAGGCGGTGGGCCCCAAACGTAGACTCCGCCTGCTGGTGGTCGGTTTTCCAACATACTGTACGATCCGGTGGATCCGGAGATTTGGTCGCTCTGAGTGGCGTTTTCCCCAGCCCGATGGCTGAACCCATACTGGCTATCTGCGCTGCTGACAGCTCCCTGATACGTCAAGGAGTCCCTGCGCAAACAAACGACAATCTTGCGGCTGATCGCATCGCTTCGCCTACTCACCGTGGGGGCTCGGTTTGCTCGACGCTGGCTCTGGACCAGGGCAGCCGCCTCCAGCTCCACCCAGGCCGGCCTCTGCCCGCCTCCTGGTTGGCGGGCGGCACGTCTTCGGGGTTGGGGGAGTAGAAGTTGCCCACGCGCCCTGGCGTCCAAAACCTAAGCAACAGACCAAGTTAGAGCCAGTAGGGCGGATTGGAGACGCCAACTCGCCTGTCCGGGGGATGGTGGTTGTCCCAGGGGTAGACTTGAGGGCCGGCCGAGGCTGAAGAGTAGCGGCATTCTTCGCAGCAGCTGCAGTAGGTGGTGGAGGCGACTGGGGGGCCTCGTAGGGAGCCCTGGGCGCTTGAGGGGGGCGCCGGTTGCTCCTGGTAGAAGGAGCGGCAGCGCAGCTCCAACTGCTCCCAGTACATCTTCTTTCGCTCGTGACTGCAAAAAAAGTTTCTTTGAGCTTTACGAGTTGGAGTTGGTTACGGAGTTGGCACAGTGCGGCGCAGATGGCTTGGTGCGCCAACACAGCATACCGGCACAGCAACTCAGCTCCGTTGCCGGCAAAATGCCTTTTTACGTGTTTTTAGATTGATATCTTTTAAATTTCTTCAAAATTTCAGAATTTTCCGGTTTTAGTCACGTTCCTCTTCCTTCTAAATGCTTAATTTTCCAAAGTTTCACTTAGAAATGCCTGACAATGTCCAGAGGGTTTTGAATTGAAAGGAATTGAATTTGAATTTTCCTGCATCTATCGGGCTGTAGCGACTGTGCTTTCCTAAACTTTCCTTAGATGAAACGCGCATTTAAAAGCCCACTTTCTGCGCCTTTTCTGGGTTTTTTGAAAAGTGTGGATGATGTTCGATAACAAACTTTCCCGGTTAAATCCGGCTGTATTTCCGGCTAGTTTCCGAACTTCCGGCATCTGAAAGCTGGGGACAAAAGCTCAAAATTTCTGTTTTTCTGCGTTTTTTCAAAATTTAAAGTTCTCTAGAAATTGTGTGTCAAAAGTGTGGAGGGTTACGAAAAGCGAAATTTGTTGGACCAATCCGACTGTAGTTTTTGCGTTTCCAGGAACTTTCGTTTTCTGAACCCCGCCCTCAAAAGCCTCAAATCTGCGTCTTTTTGTACTTCCAGCATCTTTCTGAACTTCCACCATCGGAAAACTGCAGGGCAAAGCCCAAAAGCGCCGCTAGAAATGCCTGAGAATCTCAACTTATAACTCGATAACTCAGAGAGCGGCAACGACTCAATAGCGCAACGCAACACAGTGGTACCCAGGCCTACTTCACGCGCTTTGTAAACAGAGATGTAAACATTCGGTTTTCTCTCATCTGCACGCGCTCCATTAAAAATTCGTATCTTCCAAACCCGACTACCTGGGAACGTAAAACTTTCAGGGTCTATAGAGGAGACTTGCTGCTTCGAAGCCTCAGAGCTTCATTCGAATCAGACTGAAGCCCAATTTTTGCGCGCTTTATAAAAAAAGGTCTAAAAAGGGAGAATTTTCTTTTCAAAACAGCGCGTAAGTTTCCATCTAAGGCAGATAGAACCTGGAAACTTGCACACTCTATGGCACCCAAATGGGTGTCCAAATCGTGCAAATTTCACTCAAGTTGCGGGAAAACCTTACTTTTGCGCGCTTTGCAAAAGGCAGGTGCAAACATGAGGTTTTCTCCCAACCGCACGATCTCCACTAAAAATTTTTATTTTACGATCCAAACTAGGTGGGAACCTGAAACTTGCAGGTTTGCTAGCTGAGATTTGGTTCTTCCAACTAGCAAAGTTTCATTCAAATTGCGCTAACGCGTAATTTTTGCGCGCTTTATAAAGAAAGGTCCAAAAAAGGAGAATTTTCAAAACAGCGCGCTCTTCTTTAGAAAATCTGTGCTTTCCATCCAACGCATTTACACACTGGAAACTTGTACACCCTATACCAGACAGGTAAGTCCCCACATCCTGAAAATTTCACTAAAATCGCCGGGAAAACTTATTTTTGCGCGTTTTGCAGACAAAGGTGTAGAAATGAGGGTTTTCCTCCGCTTACAAATTCGCAACTTTCAATCCAGAGCAGGTTGCGACTGGAAACTTTCAACCCCTCTAGAAGATACTCAGTTCTTGACTCGCGTTTCGATAACTTAGATTTAATTCTTAATTTAAATTAATTTAAGATTGAACGAGCCGATTGATATATCTCCGAATGATGCCTCTTGTTCCACTCAGTACACTGAGATGAGCCGTTACCTCAACAGCTGGAAAACCAGCATGCAGGAGAAAATGCAGACCAAAATGCCGCTCACTGATAGTCCAAACATCGCCCTCAAGCAGGAATAGAGCGCCCCATGAATCACCTCGCAGTCCGGAGTAGAGTCGAAGACAAACCTCAGTCCTGCAACAGTTTTCTTAATCTCCCGCAAATCTCAGAATCTCCTCTTACCATCATCCCCAGTGGACTGAGCCTCTAACAGCACTGAGTAGCAGGTGCAGCTGCGCGTTTTCTGCGTGTAGACGCATTCCTTCAAGGTCTGTAGACGATTCATATGGATGACTGTGGTGGTGATGGTCACCAGGACGCAAGTCAATGCGCACACCAAACAACAGAGGCCACACACTTTGATCTGCAATACAGTCTTGGGTGATTTTCGATTAATTTTTTGAAAACGAAACCAAAAATTCAAATAATAAAATAACTGGGGGTGTGCAGATGGACTTACCAAGTAGCTGTAGCGGTTTTTGCGCCTGGCTAGACTCATAACGCACAGCCCGGTGAGCATCAGCTGGAAAACAGGGGCTGGATGAAGCAGGAAGAATGGGGGTAGAGTTTTGGCTTACCATGGTGGCCGGCACAAAGGTGGGGATGGTCTCAAAGTAGCCCAAAGTGGAGGTGTACGTTCTGAGGAGGAAGTAAACGGTCAGGAATAGGGCGCCTAAGAGAGTGGCTAATCCTCCGCAGGCGCAGCACCAGAAGACGTACTTTCCAACCCCTCCAGAGGGTGGGGCTGCTGAAGAATTTCAAAATATTTTAAAAGGGTGTATGAGGCTGGACCTACGCCGCTCTGTGGATTTTTCTCAAAAATGTATATACATTTCCAGAGCTTTCTATATAAACATCGATTTCATCTGGAATAAACTGGAATGGTTTGGTGGAAGAAAAGTTCCTAAAAACTAGTCCGTCCACTGAAACTACCTGAAATTTTGTGCATGTCTTAAGAATAGATGTGTGCTTGAATGTTCAAAATTCTATTGAGATAACTTTTGGAGTGTGGAAGTTATTAATTTTTAGAGGCACGGTACCTGGTACAAGTGATACTGTTGACTTTCCAGAAAATGAATCCAATGCCCGAATGGATTGAATTTTTGAGCACGTGTAAGAAATGTCCATGAATGCGCGAATTCTTTCATTAAAATATCTCTGGGGGTTTGGGAATTAGGAACTGTTAGGGCGAGATTAGCAGAATTGAGAGAATCGCATTTTTCCTAAGGTTTAAAAATGTATAAAAAATCAACCTAATGCTCAAATTGCTTGAAACTTTACGCAGGCCTAGAAAGTAGTTACGACTATGAATACCAACGATTTCATGAAAATAGCTTTTGGGGTTTAGCAGTCATAAATGTTTTGAAGCAGACTCGAAAAATTCAGAGAATCAACTTTTTATCGGAAAGTTAAAAAATGTCTAGAAAATTGGCGGGTCATCAAAGTGCCTTTAAACTTCACAAACATTCAGAAAGCAGCTTTAGCTTCAGAATTCCCTAATGTTCATAGAAATACCTGTCCGGGTTCAATAATTATGATTTTTTAAGGCAATCTACAACACTTCAGAGAATCGCCTTTTCAAGGAAAAGTTTAGAATTTTTTGAAAAATCAACCCAAAGCGCAAATTACTTGAAAGTTTAAGCAAGCCTAGAAAGTAGTTACGACTATGAATACCAACCATTTCATAAAAATAGCTTTTGGGGTATAGCAGTTATAAATTTTTAAAGCAGACTCGGACAATTCGGAGAATCAACTTTTTATTGAAAAGTTTTAAAATTTCTAGAAAATTAACGGGGCATTTAAGTTCCTTTAAACTTCACAAGCATTTAGAAATCACCTTCAGCTTCAGAATTCCCAAATGTTTATAAAAATATCTGTCCGGGTTCAATAATTGTGATTTTTAAGGCAATCTAGGACACTTCAGAGAATCGACTTTTCAATAGAAACTTTGGAATTTTCTGTAAAATCAACCCAATGCTCAAATTGCTTGAAACTTTACGCAGGCCTAGAAAGTAGTTACTACTATGAACACCAACGATTTCATGAAAATAACTTTTGGGGTTTAGCAGTTATATATTTTTTGAAGCAGACTCGAACAATTCGGAGAATCAGCTTTTTATTGGAAAGTTTAAAAATTGCAAAAAAATTGACGGGGCACCTAAGTTCCTTTAAACTTCACAAGCATTTAGAAACCAGCTTCAGCTTTAGAATTCCCAAATGTTTATAAAAATACCTGTCCGGGTTCAATAATTATGATTTTTTAAGGCAAACTAGTACACTTCATAGAATCGAATTTTCAAAGAAAAGTTTAGAATTTTTTGAAAAATGAACCCAAGGTGCAAATTTCTTGAAACTTTAAGCAGGTCTAGAAAGTAGTTACGACTATGAACACCAACGATTTCATAAAAATAGCTTTTGGGGTTTAGCAGTTATATATTTTTTGAAGCAGACTCGAACAATTCGGAGAATCAGCTTTTTA